CGGGGTGTGATGTATAGCCCCAAGGGATGGAAGTGAAGTCCAGACATTTTAGCCGGTAATTGTTTTTTTGAGATGATAGTATGTCAGCACTTTGGCCGTATGCGACAGCTATAAGTCGATTCTAAGATATATTCGAAACCGGTCAAATACATCTCTTGTATTGTGAAGATATTCATTCTCATTCATACCTTTCTACATTTGTCAACATGAATACGGTTCACTAGCCCAAGATTCCTCAATGCTTTTTTGTATTCACTGCATACCTAAAATCCTGAATGACTATTTGATTGGTTTGTCAGTGCTTTTTGTATACCTAAAAAACCCTGAATGACTGGGTATACTATTGTGTCGCTATTTTAATTGGTTTGAGAATCCGTGAGAAAGGTAAGCCTCTGTCCGGAGGTTGGATAATCCCCATCCCCATTGGAAACACTCAGAATGACAGTTCAATCTAATTAGTTCAAACCTGTCCCTGAGTATCAAACCTATCCCTGAGTATAGTTGTGACATGTTCAGGGCGTCAGGAGCATAGCCCGCGATGTGTCTAACTTCTGTGTCTCCTACTCACTGCTCTCGAGACAGAGAAATGGCTAGGCGTAGGTGTAGTTACTGAATGCACTGTTTTGTATCTTGGACCAAAGGTTTAGGATCATGGACTCGACTTGGTTGCAGAAAACTGGTCCTACTCAACGTATTTCCTGTGAGACGCGAGGTTCAGACAATCCTTGCCTCCCCTTGAGCTATTCCTCCCAGGGAAATAAGAGCAAGATCATCTTCATATAAGATTTTCATATAAAATCATCTTTGGAAGTGAATAATGATCATCAGTGCGTTAAATAGTGCTGGGCTAAAGGCTCAAGTGACAAATGCTGTGAAAGGTGACATCAGAACTAACTCTGGCAGTTATTTTCTCCAAATAGTTCCCTATCCATACCAGAAGTTTACCTCGAATTCCTTTCTGAATTATGCTGTCCTGGACAAGAGGGCTCGCCAATTCAAAGGCCTTATACAGATCCAGGAATGCAACACACAAGTGACACATGGGGATGCGTCCATAAGTCAGTCTTGCCTATGATTCGTATTCTTGTTACAACTTCCTTCTGGTTCATTTGGGTACTTGTGACCTTTGACCTCTCGGAGTTTGTTGGATTCAGTGGTCTTCCATTGGTTTCTCACTTGTGTCTTACAGCTCCTTTGATCTGGGGTCCTAGGCAGATGTAAGTGAAAGGGTAGATAGCAGTGTGGGGGACACAGCACCTGTTTCCTCTCGTTCTCAGGGATACTGACAGAAACTAGTTCCAAACAGAGAATAATTTTCTGTGGACTCTAAAGCCAGGAAATTAATGACGATATACAGTTCTGCAGTATGTAGTTGGAGTGGGAGGGAGGCTTTCTGGCCCATCTTCACTTTGCTGACGATTGTTACTTTAAAATGTGTTCTAGGATCCTCTGCTTGAACTCCACAACAGTTCTTCCTCTCTTCCTTATTCCGACGATATCCAAGTTCAAAAGGGTTCGTCCAAGAGGGAATCTAAGTGATGTCAAGTGATAGGATCCTGGTGAAGAAGGAAAAATGCCAGAGGAGTTCCTTAAAGCTCCAATGTGATTTGGGTTTGGTGTGTGGAGGAGTTGAGGAAGTCTTCTTGTATGTTATCCAGTTTGCGTGCGTAGTTGCAGTGTTGTGTCATCAGTAACCTTCGACAAATCGGAGAACATCCACAGCTTGCCCAGAGATTTAGTTGTCCTTGCTTTCAGCTTGCTCGACGTCTTGGGTTGAATGCCATACCCAAGAACTTCTCGCTGCCACGTCGCAGTAGTTTTCTCCTAAGAAAATGTAGGGTCATGGTCCTGTTCTGAGAGAACTTGAAACCATATGCGTACAGTGCAAAAGTTTTTCACATATAAACAGAAGGAAATGTCCCTTGGCACAACTCTCACAATGCCATTGGTGGTAATTGCACAGAGTCACTCTGAGAACTCTTCCTAGTCAAACTCCCAGTTGCTGGTTTTCCTGATCAGATAAATGTTCTACCTTTACTCGGAACTTCTTGTCACTCAGGAAAATCCGGATAGAGATGGGCAGGGCTCCCGATAGTTAAGAAAACTTACGTAAATGTCCTTACAACGATGAGGATCGCTGCCCAGCAGGAGGCCGCCGTTGCAACGCATGTGGCTTAGAGGGTAAAATCTCACGTTCCCGACTCTGCAGAAGGGAAAAACACGCTTTCGGTTGAAGAGGAACGTATTTCAACGCCCAGTGAAGACGGTGAAAGTGAATATGAATCTGTCTCCAGAATTTGTGCAGCAGGATATACCCGGCACCAGCCTGGGGTGGACAAGAAATTAAAAAAGATCTAGTGCTATTCATTACATTCACCGGCAGGAAGGAGAAAAGAAATCTGTAAGAGTAAAGTTGGACACATGGGGAACTACTGTACGATATGGCACAAACAGTCAACTAACCATTATCCCAACAGAGATATACCAAGGCATCACCCCAGCGAAATGCCATCTCAATGCCGTGGAATCTACAACCCGCTTAGGCACGAGAGGCATGTCCCAGACCACGTTAGTTGCTCTCAGGGGAGCAATGAAGACAACTTGGGTTTGCGTGGTGGGAGGCACCTGTCCAGAACCGCTACTCGGATATACTGATAAGGAGGACATTGGCATCATCAACTTTAATCCCTAAAGAACGTACTGCATCTCATGTACAGCTCAAAAAAAAGTAAACATACCACAAAAAACGACGTAGGATAGGCGTCACGGTATATCCAGGAGAGGCTACAAAGAGAACCATGGAGAACCATATTGTTGCATATGGGAAGGTCTGAAAGGGCAATGGGGATGAATATTGACGTAAAACCATTAAATATGGAGGCCAAGTATACTAAATATGCCATAACACCACAAGAGGTCGGGCACAAATTAGATGGTAACAGTTTTCACAGAAATGGCCACTTGTTCCAGAGTTAATTCCAGTCAAGCCTGGGACTGCATCACATGGAGCGGCTTTTCTTTGGCCCAAAGAACAGCTCTGGCATATTTCATCATGAAGTGCAAACAGTCTTCTCAAGTGCCCCAGGTTGTATCAAAATACATCAATAACTTGCTGTAACAAAAGCAACTTACGAGCTACACTCAGAAAAAATATTACTTTCAAAATTACCAAATCGAACTTTTTTTTT